TGCACATGGAGGTTCACAAAGTGCTGTGCCTGCCACGAAATCTGCACCTGGAGGTTCACAAAGCGCTGCACCTGCCACGAAATCTGCACATGGAGGTTCACAAAGTGCTGTGCCTGCCACGATAACTGCACATGGAGGTTCACAAAGTGCTGTGCCTGCGAAGAAATCTACACATGGAGGTGCGCAAAGTGCTGTGCCTGCCACGAAATTGGCACATGGAGGTTCACAAAGTGCTGCGCCTGCCACGAAATCTGCACATGGAGGTTCACAAAGTGCTGTACCTGCGAGGAAATCTGCACGTGGAGGTTCACAAAGTGCTGCACTTGCCACGAAATCTGCACATGGAGGTGCACAAAGTGCTGCGCCTGCCACGAAATCTGCACAGGGAGGTTCACAAAATGCTGCACCTGCCACGAAATCTACACATGGAGGTTCCCAAAGTGCTGTGCCTGCCAGGAAATCTGCACATGGAGGTACACAATGTGCTGAACCTGCCACGAAATCTGCACATGGAGGTTCACAAAGTGCTGTGCCTGCCAGGAAATCTGCACATGGAGGTACACACTCGCAACCGTCGTTCCGCGAGCCACCGGTTCCATTGAAAAATACAGCATTTCGTGCGTTCGCTATCTCTCCGCAACGCATTTTGTATTGCGCCTGCCACGAAATCTGCACATGGAGGTTCCCAAAGTGCTGTGCCTGCCAGGAAATCTGCGCATGGAGGTACACAAAGTGCTGCGCCTGCCACGAAATCTGCGCATGGAGGTTCACAAAGTGCTGTGCCTGCCAGGAAATCTGCACATGGAGGTACACAAAGTGCTGCACCTGCCACGACATCTGCACATGGAGGTTCACAAAGTGCTGCGCCTGCCACGAAATCTTCACTTCAAGAAACAAGTGAAAACTCTAATCCCAATGGACGGACGATTCCGAGAATGATCCGAGAATGATCCGAGAATGACCCAAGACCGTCTCGCAACCGCCGTTCCGCAGACCTTGACTTGCCAGCTTCGGAGCCACCGGTTCCATTGAAAAATGCAGCATTTCGTGCGTTCGCTATCTCTCCGCAACGCATTTTGTCTTGCGCCTGCCACGAAATCTGCACATGGAGGTGCACAAGGTGCTGTGCCTGCCACGAAATCTGCACGTGGAGGTTCACAAAGTGCTGCACCTGCCACGAAATCTGCACATGGAGGTTCACAAAGTGCTGCACCTACCACGACATCTGCACATGGAGGTTCACAAAGTGCTGCACCTGCCACGAAATCTGCACAGGGAGGTTCACAAAGTGCTGCGCCTGCCACGAAATCTGCACCTGGAGCTGGAGTTGCCTGGAGCTTGAGCTGTTGAAACCAGAGCTGGTGTGTGATCAGTCGTGTATGATGAGTGGTGTATGATGAGTGGTGTATGATGAGTGGTGTA